TTCTATTCTCCGTATAAATATCAGAGAATGTGTGTTTATAGCGTAGCTTTGGTTTTCTAAATCAATGAAGTATGATATACACGGATGAGTAAATATAGATTATTCAAACAGAGGTGCAAAATTCTTCCATTGAAAAGTACAGAGGCGGGTACTCACGAAACATTACATGTGCCTGACTGCATCCACATAGATCGACTAGCCACAGTGATGTACCTAAGTCATGTTTAAATTGCAATAAAGAATATATTCTATATTGGGTACAATGTAAAAACATTCATGCATGTACTAACCAACTCTAAATCTGATAATGCACCCAGGCTTCGCCCCAGGCTTCGTGCCTGATTATGTGAACGAGTAAGTACACGCGATCATGATTTTACATTTAAATTAATGTTTCATTCCCCAAATACACAATTTAATTGATAACAAATTGCTTTTGTTACTTAGACATTTTAAATTTTGTATGCATGATATTGCTATTGACAACTGATATTCTCTATTATATTCTATGTAAGCAAACAGTGTGTTCTGGGAATTGTGCATGCCCAGTAACTATTGCAAAGTGTTGCATCGTGATTGTTTCATGTCTGGATGTACATGGGGTGATAGATCTGAAGTTCAGCTATACATGGCCTTATTGTGTTCACATACTTCATTGATTAATACATATGTCATTTATATTACGATTTACCGGAGTACAAAATGCCAGAATAAAATTATTATCTTAACTGGGGCTACCGGATATGTAAAGCTAAGAAATGGATAAAATCGCAAATGTACTTGTGTTGTCCATGTTAAGATGGCTCGATTTCCAATGCGCATATGGATCACATGTATGCAATGATTCCTTAGTTAAAGCCCGGTATACACCAATGGGGCAAAATCCCACTTGCCCCATCGAGTCCTATCTTGCCCCATCGAGTCCCATCTTGCCCCATCGAATCCCAATTTGCCCCATCGAATCCCACGAATTCCCATGGGACCTTGATGACTTTGCCCCATCGTGCCCCATGGAGTCCCATCAAGCCCCATGGAGTCCCATCAAATCCCACCGTGCCCCATTGGTGTATGTCGGGCTTCACACAACACGTCATATGATCGAAAATCCCACGATGCCCCATGGAAAGAATGAACATGTTCATTCTCGATGGGACTCCATGGGACTCCGTGGGATTTTGCCCCATCTTGCCCCATCGAGTCCCATCGAATCCCACCGAGTCCCACGTGGGACTTCATGGGACCTCATGGGACCTCGTGGGACTCGATGGGGCAAGATGGGGCAAAATCCCACGGAGTCCCATGGAGTCCCACGGACTTCATGGGGCAAAATCCCAAAAGGTCCCACGAGGTCCCACGCAATGTTAAGTCTATGGAGGTCCCAACTTGCCCCATTGGTGTATACCGGGCTTAAGAATGACCCGATGGTGTCCCTCACAGTGTCAACGACCTTCGGAAATGACCATGTGATCTATGGAGCATACAGGTCTTACATGGATACACCTACAATAGAACCCACTTCGATTAACCGTTTATATTATGGTGGGTGGAAGGCAGGGGTGTTCGATGCATCGCAATGGTGGCAAGCGGAATTTCCTGAACTTTGGACAATTCGTGGGATCATAACACAAGGCGCTCATATGAGGGGTGAATGGGTTACGACATACACTATTGAACATAGTGTCGATGGTGCAACCTTTAACCAAGAAGGGGGCATCGTTACAGGTAACTCAAATAATGATGACAAAATGGAGCAAACAATTCCAGAAACAAAAGCCAAATACATTAGAATCATCCCAAAAACGTGGTCGGGTGCGATAAGTATGCGAATTGGCGTACTTGGATGTCGTAATGAAGACTGTCTCTATCCTCTCGTGAAAGGAGATGACCATGTCATTATCTCATCGTCCTCAGACTATACAAATTCGCCAGGTTCGTACGGGGCCCATAGAGGAATCGTTGATTATCTCATCCATGAAGGAAATCCAGGTTATTTGTACGGAGCTTGGCTTGCAAATGTGAATGATGTCAATCCATATATTCAGGTAGTTTGTTATTTTATCATACTGGACGTATTATTAAGAAGCTTTATACAACACTGTCTTCATTTCTAGTGTTTTCCGTTCTTTCTTAGATATGCTCTAGTTTGCATTTATCTATGGTACATGGCTTTCTGTGCATATTCATACATCATTTGAAACCGTTCAAGTGAAAAAAACATTAACAAATGTTTGTTAAATGACAATCCTGAAAGAGGAACTGCTATTTTAACAGTTTAAAGATGTATAATTAGACTGCACAGTATTTTCTGAATACATCCATCTATGCTTTGGTCAATTTTGAGCAATTTCTATAGAAAATGTGTATTTTTACTTACTTACTACTTCTCCTAAATGAAACCAGGCGACGCTTCATTTAACATATTTACAGTCCCGATTCCTATGTACATGGTTTTCCTTTTATATTATCATTATCGCATGTTATTTTACTAATGGGTGATTGTTTGTTGCAGATTGAATTTCCCGAAGTGCGTATA